TGTGTGTGTGTGTGTGTGTGTGTGTGTGTGTGTGTGTGTGTGTGTGTGTGTGTTTTCTTTCTAAATAAAGACGTCTTGTCTTCTATCAGTTTGCGTTCCTGAGGGCCGACACCTCTTGAGTAAATTCTCCCTGGTGATAAACCTCTGCAGGAATGTGACTAAGAGGTCTCTGCTGTCTTCAAAATAATTCATAAAACCAAACGACAGCAAAGACACAAACAGAGGAGGGAGTATGACACAAATGCACGACTTCAGGTTAATGTGTACAGGTAGTGTAACAGCGTTTATACGCAATGTCTTTTTAAGAAGAGGATTTTTGCTGAACAACAGGAGCCATCGGCCCTCAGGGTCATCACAGCATTTCTCCGCCAGAATGTCCTCACAGCTGTTTCCAAAGCAAGGTTCCTCACAAGTATAGCAAAACAATGTGTGTGTGTAATACAATAATAATGTAATATAATGTATTATAATTAGGGCTGTCAAACGATTAAAACATTTAATCAGATTAATCACAGCTTAAAAATGAATTAATCAGATTAATCACCATTCGAACTACGTCCAAAATATGCAATTTCTTTATGTATATTGTTGTGGGAATGGAAAGATAAAGGAAAGAAGGCGGATATATCCATTTAACTTCCAGTATGTATGTTTATTATAACATTGTTCTGTGAGTCAGAATGAAAGACAGCCCACACACCTATCAATCATCAAACCGTGGGGTCTTATTTCTTATTGTATCGATGTATATAGAGATGCACTAAAGCAAAAGTATTCTCCGTCGGGACTTCCTGCAACAACACCACGCCGTTATCTTGATTCTGATTGGCCAGAAGACATTATCAAAGATGTTCTATTGTGAGAAGACGATCACTACGTGACAAAAGTTTTCAAAACCGTTTCTAGTCTTCGGTATTTCCAGACAAGTGGCTACTGAAATCAATCTCACTAACTGCTGTCTGTGTGATTTACTCCGCGCGAGTTGGCGGACTTTATTTTGCTTACTTTAACATCATTTTTCATGGTGGGGCTAAGCCATTTCTTGGTATGGCTGTAGCCTACCCCAGCGCTGCCACTGGTGGGATGTATGGGGCGGGCCATTCTGCACATGTGTTAAATGCGTTTTTAACGCAATTAATTCAAAGATTAATTACCGCCGTTAACGCGATAATTTTGACAGCATTAATTATAATGTAATACAATAAGCTAATCTTGCTAGACAGCATTAAGGGACATTCACAACAGCAAATGTTTGGAGTTATATTTCAATTTTCTTTTTGGTAGGGTTTTTTTTCTGCCTCTTTACCGAGTTGATAACATAATTGTTAGTTTGTTTGTTTGTTTGTTTGTTTGTTTGTTTGTTTGTTTGTTTGTTTGTTTGTTTGTGTGTGTGTGTGTGTGTGTGTGTCCATATTGTTGTGTTGCTGCACCTTCATTTAATCTACGGGGATCACTAAAGGTTTCTATCTTATCCTATCTTAAGTGAGGAATAACCAAAAGGTCCTCACAGAACGAGTTGTTTTCCAAATTGTGGTCCTCACAAGTACAGCAAAACAATGTGTGTGTGTGTGTGTGTGTGTGTGTGTGTGTGTGTGTGTGTGTGTGTGTGTGTGTGTGTGTGTGTGTGTGTGTCATACTTGTCACAGCTCCAGAGAAGAACAGAGACATGTTTGTCTGCAGCCGAGCGTCTTTTGTGGATCTGTGAAAGAAACCAGAAACACAAAACCGGGTCAAAAAACTAAACTAAAAACAATAATAATGTTTTAGTCCGTCTCTAAACACTCCCTATCGTCTCGACTCTGTCTGTGGTTCATACTGGGAACACACATCTCTAAAAACACAAATATAGGGTTTTATTTTTATACCAAAGTCTCAGTTATTTCAATAAGCAGCCGAAGAAATCATAAACCCGACACCGGCTGAGAGAAAAGAGCAGCCATTTCTTTCTTACAGTCAAAAAATAACAAATAAACAAAGATGGAGTCCGTCTCTAAACACTCCCTAACGTCTGGACTGTCTCTGTTCTTTGAAAGCACAGATAGACTCTCAGTTAGCTCATATTATAAGTTTTAACAACAAACAAGAGGAACGTTTGTTAGGGACTATTTTCAGCGGCGGAGGAATCCACACTTTGTGCTCTGAGTGTGTCAGCAGGACGGTGTGAGTGCGTGTGTGTGTGTGTGTGTGTGTGTTCGTGTGTGTGTGTGTGAGAGTGAGTGAGTGAGTGAGTGAGTGAGTGAGTGAGTGAGTGAGTGAGTGAGTGAGTGAGTGAGTGAGCGAGCGAGCGAGCGAGCGTGCGTGCGTGTGTGTGTGTCTGACTGAGATAACAACAGTGTGTGTGTGTTCATGATAATGGAGGAACACGTCATTGGAGGCAACAGTGTGCCTCACTAGTTGTGTTTATATTTAGGTACATTTTAAATGGACTGTGTTTTTATAAAAGTTAAGAACATGAGCTAAGTGTCTGCGACGTCTGAATTCATCCCATTTATCAAATACAACATCTTTCCACAGGGACAAAAACAAATCTAAATCACCTTAAAATATGTGGAAGGAAGTTTAGCTTGGTTTTTGAATTGTTGTTCACGAATATTGACATATTTTCAGAGCAGGTATTTGAGACTTTAAGATTCCTCGAGGCCCTGCAGACCAAGTGCTTCAATATCAAAGTATACATTGTGCGGCCATGTTGACTATGGACGTGTGTATGTGAATGCAAACACGCCTATCTCTGTTGGGTTTATCAGAACCAGGTTTATTGCCATGCAGGTTTATCCACCCAGTACAGGCACTTAGCTTTGGTGTTCAGTGATGTCAACAGAGTGTACGGAAACAAGAGGAGGAGCAAGAGAAGAACAATATTACAACTAAGTTCAGTGAGATTATGACGAAGTTCAGTTTATTAGATTTTAAGAAAGACATTAGAGCAGGTTTTTAGACGATACAAGGTGCTTCCTTCCTCCTTGTTTTTAACTTCTTAAAGTCTCCAGAGCCTCCGATCAGCGGTCAGAGCACAGAGGGAGTAACGGACACAAGCCTCTGAGATAATAAGTGTGAGGTTTTATAAACACACACAGCAGGAGGGCTTTACCTTCAGGCGTCCAGCACAAACACCGTCTGCTTTCCTTCAGTGTTTCCGTGTTTTCTGTTGATCTTCTCTCACATCCTGCAGCAGCAACAGGAGCCTGAGAAGTGTGCAGAAGAAGAAGAAGAAGAAGAAAAACAGACCAGCGGTTAGCGGTGAGGTCATGTTTCCTGTTAACCCCCGAGCTGCCGGAGGAGTCTAACATGCAGTCACGAGATCTGTGCGACTGCACGAGGATCCAGGTGTTAGTCAGACCCAAACGTGGGAAATACATTAAAAGATTAAGAAGTGTAGACTCTACCAACTTCAATATGTTCAGGTCCTGCAACAGGTTCGTAGATTTTGAGTTAATTAAAGAAGCCCTATTCTGCTTTCTATTGTCATGTATGTGTTTCAAAGAGGACCGTGCATACAAATACATTCATCTCAGAAAAGAGAGGAGATGAATGATGCCAGATGAATATCTCATTCCCATCTGCAGTCCTAGGCACAGCAATCAGCAAACACCGCATCATCTCAGTATCACACTAACCATTATAAAACATGGTTGAAGTAGTCCTGTGGTGTTGCCTCTCCTCATAGTGTCATATAGGTTTTAGTGCATGTAAATGGTCTCCAAAGGCTAAAATCCCTGTGTTCCCTTCAGAGGGAGTTTTTATTGTATATGTGGATCACAGATGAAGGACAGTGGTTCAATTTGTATAATAACGATAATAAGGACACACTCTATCTTACTCACACATACTTTACTTGTAATGTTCCACAAGATACAATGCAACATCCTAGCCACGCTAACTTGAGAACTGACGCTCATGCCTGGTAGGGCTGTACCCGATATCCGAATATCCGAATACTCGTTCGTTGCAGTACTATTCGGGTTTCAATTTCGTTATTCGGATTTTCCTTCTTTGAATGTATTGAAATCTCCAATATCAACGTAAGAGCTTGTGCCTCTTCGGGGGGTGCTAACAGGTACCCATAAAAGTTATCGTTTACTTTCGCCGTCTTTATATGTAGATATTACTTTTTCTCTGTTAATCTCCGTCACGTTGTTTCCATAGCAACAACAACTTCCTGTCAACAGCGCTACCTCTCCTTCAAAAATAAAAGCATGTCCATAAATAGGAAGCCAAGCCAAATTACACTTAAGACATACAACTGCAAGGAAAGTAACAAACACAATGCGATATCCTTTTCAATTTCAAAGAGCACAAATTGGGTTGTTAACAAATAACTATAAAACAACAATACTGTAGAATAACAAAATGAATGCCGTGAATAAAACCGAAATACGTGTGTTGAAGTGGTTCGCGAAGTGTTTTCCTCAAATACTTCTTCTTTCAGTCAGTAAAAAAAATCTGACACCATTCTGTTGAACGAGAGATAAAAGAAGTGGGTCAGCGACTGCAAACAGAGACCATCTGTTACAGTGTGTGTGTGTGTGTGTGTGTGTGTGTGTGTGTGTGTGTGTGTGTGTGTGTGTGTGGGTGGGTGTGTGTGTGTGTGTGTGTCTGTGTGTGTGTCTGTGTGTGTGTCCTTTTTTTGAACTGAGGAATGCTCTTCGTGGTTTGAACGTTAACGGTCACTGAGTGTTGCACCAGAACAACTCTTTACTCTACAGTTTGTGTGTTTCCGGACACTGGAGAGTAAAAATAAACTTCCTGAAGAAATGCACCAAACAGAAGTTCCTCTTTGGATGACTTTGTATGAAAATATCAAACATCACTCCGGATGATTCAGTCTGTAGGGGAGAGTCTTTTTCTGTAGTCATGACCGTCAGAAATGTGAATGCCTTGTTGCTTTTGACTTTTTATGTTATTATTATTATGTATTTCTTTTGTTTCCAATTATTATTATTATTATCCAAGGTGAAATGAATATACCTTTTATATGTTATATTATCTACATGCATGACCTTCAGAGACATGACCTTCAGAGACTGTGAGGTCCACCGTAGACGGACCACTTTTGGACAAAATGTCCTCTCCATTAAAGGCAGCTCTTTGTGGAACAGCCTCCCAGCTGAGATACGGGATTGTCC